AGGCCGACTTGTTACTTAGCAATAGATAAAACATCATTCCTGAGTAATGACTGACTCCCAGAGCCACTCCCAGGAAACTCCTGCAGCACCATCCCAGGGCCCCAAGATGAGAGACAAGCACAGAGAGGTGGAGATGGAGTTCCAGGATGATCTTCCACATCCCTGCCAGGTCCAACAGCAAGGCAGAGCTGCGCCATGCTAACACCTATATTACTGCAGTTTGTGTTGCCACAGTAGAAAGCACAGACCAGGCAATTTAGAAAAGAAGCTTATTTCTCAGCATTCTGGAAGCTACCAAGTCCAATGCCGAGGTGCCTGAGCCTGGGGAGGGTCTTCCAGCTGCATCGTCCATGGCCAAAGTCAGAAGGACAAGAAAGTAAGCATGCAGTAAGTGTGTCATGCCCTTCCATAATTAGCCTTAATCCAGGAGTGAGGGTGAAACCCTCAGGACCCAAACACCTCCCAGCACTGCTGCTCTGGGAACTGAGTTCCACATGTGCCTTTTGTGAAACCCTTCCAATTCCAGCAGCACCTGGGAGATCTGGCCCTTCCAGTCAGGTCATGAACACTGGCCCTTCCAGTCAGGTACCCAATTACAAGGTAGCATTGTGTTGTATTCCACTCTGTTACCCCCTCCAAAATTATTGCCCAAGAACTCTGGGAGTTTGTGCAGATGTCTGTCTTACAACATCCTCCAGGTCCCTAATTTCTTCTCTGTGGTCAAAGTAAGACGAAGCACAAGAATTCCTGGGCCCAGTTCAGCCTTCCGGCTGTGAGACCTGACCAGCCACAAGACATTTTCTAGGACCACGTCTGCCTCTCCGAGTTCCCTGGGATGGAGATGCAAACTCTTTCCTCTGTCCACCTTTTGCAGGATCTGTTTCTGTACCCTAGTAGAAATCACCCCCCATACTGGGACTCCAGATCTATGCAGGTGATCAGAGGCCTGGATTGGAACTGGCAAACAGGCTCCTCGGTTCCCAGCTCTGGTCTCAGATCCCTTCATTGACTCACCTCCTCCCTTACTGTGTCTTTCAAGTGATGTGGGAATTTCTGTTCCTTCCCTTCTTCATGGCTGAATGTTCTTCTAGCTGCTCTTACCTAAGTGTTTTCATACCCCACAACCAGCTGTGGGACTGGGCTACTAGGCCTTGTTATGGTTTGGATCATGTCTCAGTTACTCTTCTCTCATTGCTGGGACAAATACCCAACACCCAAAATTAAGGAAGGAAAGGTTTATTTAGCTCACAGTTATTCGAGGTTTCAATCCATACTTAGCTGGCCCCAAGGCAGAGCAGCACATGACAGAGCAGCAGTTCATGGTACCAGAAAACAGCAAAAAGCAAAGGGAGGGGCAGCAGCTGTGGCAGCTAGCAATCCTCTCTCCCTTCCTTACACTGTACTCAGGCTACCTGCCCCAGGGTAGGTGCAGCACTCACACCTACAATCCCAGCACTGGATTATGAATTAATCACAAACTCTGTGAGCCTGCCCCAATGACTGCATGAGGCAGACACAAACCATAACAGATCATGGTGTCCCCCAAAGGCCCACATGGCTAAAAGCTTAGTCACTAGCCTGTGGAGCTATGGCGAGGTGATGGAGGCATCAAGATGCAGGGCCTGGCAGGAGGAAGTTAGGCTGTTGGTCACACATCCCTGAGAGGGTGGCAGGACTTTGGCCTCTTCTTCAGTCTTTCTCTTTGCTTCCTGGGCCACTGTGTGATAAAACAGCTTGTCCCACCATGCCCTCCCCATCATCGTGTCTGCCTCACTATAGGCCTAAAAGCAGTGAAGCCGAGTGACTGTGAACTGCAGCCTCTGAAACCATGAACAAAAACACACCCTTCCTTCTTTCAAGTTGTTTCTCTCAGATATTTTGTCACAGCAACTGAAAGCTAACTAACCCAAGCCTCACTCCTTTTCTATGGGTAGCAGGTCTGCACCACATTCTGAGTACCCAGGACTCCTATGGCCAGACTCCTTGGGCCTAACAGGACCCACGCATGTCTCTGCTTGGGCTGAGGTTTTCCAGCGGTCCACTTCCTGCAAATCAGGTATGTGCTGCACCAGTTTGCTAATTCCTTGGAGTCTGGACCAAAGAGATTTCCCAATAAGAGGCCTTCCATTAAGATGGCCTGGTCTTATGTGTCAGCTGGCCCCTGAGGAAGACCTATCAGCCCTCTCAAGAGTTAGCTCCCTGCTTCCTTCCATGGTGACATTGCCATGGAGCTCCTCTTGGATTCCATCTCTCTCTGAACAAGAAAGAAATCCTTGGAGAGGGTCCACTGTGCACACACCCTTGTCAACATCTCATACCTCTCCACCAAGATGGGGCTTCCTGGTTGTACTCCTCCCACCAATGGAGTAGGGAGCCGGATGAAGAAGTCATCCCCAATTGGGTACCCACTACCTATCCTTGCCCTAGAAGACTGATGTGACCCATGTTTGCCCTTGTTTTCCTAACAGCTTACCAAACACCTGAACCCCACATTCCCAGAAAGCTCAAGGCCAGGTATCCCACTGGCTGACATCCCATGGGGTTTATACTTCCCCTACCTTTGGCCCCTACTCTGCCCTCCTGGCTTCTGGGCCAACCCCTGCTTTGAGGGGCCCCACATAGCAATCTCAGAATGCTATAGGCAATGGTGGCCTTCCCACCAGCCACTTCTTGGGAGCTCTGCCTTCTCCAGCTAACAGAGTCCACCCCTAAGGAGCCACCCCATCCCAAGGGACTTGCATTCACTTTCTCTGGACCCAGCCCTCATCCTTAAGGATGACCTTGCTCAGGTAGGAGATGTCCAGACATCAAGAACCTGATCCATAATGCTGTGTTGAAATCACATCGGACTGGATCTTTCAGGGTCCCCTTCAGTGCTTCTTAAGACTGTGGGCTCAGGCCCACCTCTGCCTTCACCTGTGGGAAAACCAGCAGCTCACCACTGATGCAAGCTTCAGGCTTAACAATAGAGATGGTCCACACTGCTCCTCTTCCCCTCCCACCCCCCCATACCTCCCTTGCTTCAGCACACTGACCTTAGGGGCCACGCTACATAGATTCCTCCACTGGCCTTTCAGCACAGCTGAGCCTAGGGAGACATAGGGGTAATACTTAGCCACCTGAACTGCTAATCCAATATGCAAGCATGACTCCTTCAGCCTAGACTCAGTTTGCTTATCTATATAACGGGGACACTACACTCCTTTGATGGAGGAACTGTTGATAATGTTCGTATCATCATAGTGAAGTACTTAACAAGCAGATGCTCTTCTCAGTGGTACTGCTCCCACGTGGACACTTCTGTGGCAACTTACCGGTTGGGAGTGTTCTAAAAGGTTGCTGGATACTGACAGACACACCCAGGACTATCCAAGCTGATAACTCTGCCTCGTCCCCCAGGTCTGGTCTACCTTCCCTCCTCCAGCCCAAGGGGAAGCAGCAGAGCCACTCCATTCCTAAGAATACCTACCCCAGCCTCAGCCCCACACCAGCACGGACTGTACCCAGAGAGAGACACTCCTCACTCAACAGACCTCCACCAGCCAAATAGCCACGTCAGTATTTTCTGGGAAAATGTAGCCACCAGAACTCCCAAAATACTTGTCTCTCCCAGGGCTTCTGAGCTAGAAGGCAGAAGGCTCCAGGTCTTTCTGCGGGAAACAATACACTTGCTTTCTTTTCCCTCTAAATCACAGGACAGGCTAGGAAAAGCCAGGGACACATCTGAGCCTTGCCTGAAGGTACAGTGGCTCAAAACATAGAGGCAGGAAGAGTTCCAGAACGCACTGTTAGCAGCCTGGAAGAGCTCATTCTGGCCTTTTCTTAGCAGCCTGTAAAGTTTGCTCAAATGCTACTGATCCATTTGCAGGGAGTTTGTTTTTCCTCTGGGCCTGCAAGAAACACGATGTGCCTCTAGAAGGCCAGGCACTATTTTTGATGATAACCACACAGGATACCCCCTCCTACAATGTCACCCCGTAATTATTTCACCCTCACTCTTCACCTCCTCCTACCATGAGCATGCCACGGTGCATTTTCATTCAAAATTTCCTACTATGTTCCTTGTGAACTAGGGCAGGTAAATTCTTAACTACTTTCAGTCTGTCTAGGATCTGGGCAAGGTTTTTACCAGAATGCTTAAAGGAAGCAACTGTTAATTTAGTCCTTACCATAATCCTGGGGCAGGCAACCTTTTAGTAAAAGGGACTCCTGTAAAGTCACCTTCCCCAATATAAACACACACACACACACACACACACACACACACCCCACCGAGGAGTTTAGAAACTTCCTATCTCACTCAGCCTGCGACAGGGATGCCTCCCAACTGTCACCCAGACAATAAACAGCCAGCTGACTTGGCTCAGCAGGTTCTATGTAGCTTTGGGACCAAGCCAGAAGCCCAGAACTAGCTATGTTCAGGTTCCGGCGCCCACAGGAGGGGCTCAGGCCGGGCGCTGTCGCACCCCTGGATCCAGCCGGCTGATGGGGCTCTTGCTGGCGGTCAGCAAAGCTCAGCTGGCCTGCAAGTGGGCGGCCCAGAGGCGGCCAGGCAGCCCGACCCAAGGCAGCACAGCCATGCACGGGTCAGGAGGCTCCGGGCTGGAGCAGCAGGGCTGCAGCGGCCCGATCCTCTGGGCATCTTTGCATGATCATCGGACTCTGGCAGCCCTTGGCGGCCCCGGCCACTGCCTGCACGGCGCTCGCCGCTCCAGAACTCAACAGAGGCAACAAGTTCTCGCTTCCTCCCCGCCGCCACGATGTGCTCTGGAGGCCGGCGCGAGGGGAGCGCTCTCAGCGAGTCCGTGCCGCCCGCGCCTCGAGGGGCGGCCGCAGCCTTCGCCACCTCCAAGATTGCAAAGGTCAGGGCGGCAGAGGCTGCCCCGGGAGCGCCCCTCGGACAAGGACGGCCGCACATCTCGGGGACCTGCAACAGGTAATCCGAGCAAGAAGAACCGCAGGCCAGGGCTCGCCCCGCCCCAGGCCGCCTCGCCCCTCACCTCCAGCAACTGCACATAGCTGGCCGGGAACCAGCCGCGGAGCCCGTCCTCCTTCTCGCCTTCCCACCAGCCGCCGTCCGGGACCTGCAGCAGCGTGATCAGCTCGCCCGCGGCAAAGCGGAGCCCCTGGCTGTGCCGCTCCCCAGAGAAGGGGTACAAGGTCCGGCAGCGGGCGCCGGACATGGCCTTCGCGCCTGGGCTCACAGCGCAGCCTGCATCCCTACCGAGCCCCGCGGGCTGAGCCGCGGCTCCGCGGGGTCCCAGGCGCCCGGCGCTCCGGGCTCCCGCGCTCTGGGCGCGCGCCGTCTCGGGGGTGCGC